ATCTGAACACCAGATTTAAAACGGGTGGGGCCTGTGCGCGCAGGGTCCCAGCCTGGCCCAGGTGTGCAGCGCTGTGTCGAGGCCCCCAGGCCCCGGGCCGCGGAGTGTCGGGGCCCCCAGGCCCCGGGCCGCGGTGTGTCGGGGCCCCCAGGCCCCGGGCAGTGCCTGGAATCGTCGCACCGTGCCTCTGGGATTTCTGAACGACGCTTCCCTGTGGTGTGTCAGCAGACTTGTGGCTTTGATACCTGTCGGATAGAGTCGGGGGCGGTCAGTTCCACTTGCTGTTTGTTTCAGAGCAAAGGAAATGCTGATGTGCGGTGTTCGTTCTGACGATGCAGTGGAAAGTTGGTGACCGTGCAGATGCCGGGTGGTTCCTGGTTCCTCTGGTCGCTTGCCTCTTCTCCTCCTTTAAAAAAAAAAAAAAAAGATTTTCAAGGCACACAACGAGTACAGGAGAAATGAGTGAAAAACTAGGTGTTTTTAGCTCAAACAGAAGAGTGCCACGTTTGTGTGCATGGCACCAGTGGGGGTGTTTTAAGAGAAGTGTCCTGAAGAAGAAGGGACCGTGGCTCTGCCTTCGGCCCTCCCCCACCCCTGCATGCCTCGTTCTGAGTGCCGAGCGGCCCGGCGGGCACAGGGGGACCAGGGGCAGGGGCGGGGGCAGAGCGGAGGCCGGGCTGGGCAGAGGGGGCCTGAGGGCCACTGTGGCCTCCGCCGAGTTGGAAGTTCCGCTTCCAAACCCGCAACTGCGTTGTCTGCCTCCCCTCCTGGGACTGTCATGGGGGCCGCCACGGTGCGTGTGCGTGGGCAGCGGGGGGTGCCAAAGCGTGGGGCCAGCCAGCACCGTGCTCCTTCCTGACATTCTGATTCGAGATCCGTGGCTGCTTTCGGAAACCAGGAATCCCAAAATGTGGGGAAACGGGTTACGAGCGAGGCATCGAGAAGGAAAGCGTGTTAAGTGAGATTCGGACCCTCGATGCCCCTTCTGTCACGTTGTCTCACGAGAGTCGGACAGAAGCCCCCCAGGGGTAAACTGAGGCCATCTCACCACAGCGTGAGGTTTTAAGATCTGTTTTTTCAAAATGATGATGAAAAGGAAACTCGCTAGATGAAAGGACAATTTTACTTTAAAAAAGACCCTTCACTGATTAATTTGCAAACTTATTTATAAATAACCGCGAGGTCTGTGTGTGGTGGTGGGAAGATGCTAGTGACTGCGGACGGATAATGTGAGTGGAGGTGAGAATGTATGCCTGTGCTTTGTACAATTTAGATTTTAAATGGTAAAAAACACGAATTTTCTTTTCACTCAGTCCCAGTTCTGCACGTAGAGGTGGTTTGGGTGTGTGTGTGTCTGTGTGTGTCCCGCACACGTATCCCAGAGTAAAACAAGAATTCAGATTGCCGCAGAAGTTTTAGGAAAAAACAGTAGTTTCCACCTTGGGAGCACTTTAGAGAAAACTTAAATATAAGGGGAAAAACCTTTCTCATTGGGCTGAATTGTGGTGTAACAGCTCGCCACATCCTGTGCAGGGCCATCTGACACCAGGTCTCTGACAAGCTGTGAGGGTCACATGCTACCTGCAGTTCAAAATACTTGTACAGAGAAAAAACCCTTCGTGTCGGTGGAAAAGCTGAATAAGAAGATGGAAACTCTCAGCACAGAGAAGACACTGTAGGAAACCGTAGCAGAGAGAGGGCCGCCCCCAGAGTAACCGGCACACCCCCCGGGGGCGGCCCTGGACTCACGGGCACTCGGAACCGTGACCTCACGGAAGACAAGTAGGAGGCCGTGGCCCGGGCGAGGCCGGAGGCGACGGGACGCGGCGCTCCCATCCCTGCGCCCCGTGGCCTCCCCCCCGTGGCCAGGACACAGGCTGTCTTTGGGAGGGAGCGTGGCCGCGCGCCGGTCCTGGCCTCGGTGGTGCAGCCGTCCCTCCCGTCAGCGCTGCTGCCAGGCGCGGTCCCCAGGGGCCTGAGGGCAGGTCCGAGGGGCACTTGTGCTGAGGGGTCCGAGTCGTCGTGAGCCTGCTCGGCGGTGCCAGGCCTGGGCGCCGGCCGGCAGGGGACCTGCCGCTCCCCTCCAGCCCGCGGTGGCCGGGACACAGGCGGGGCCGGTGCGCCTCAGACCCACGACCCCTCCCGCCAGCCTGGGCGCGGCCGGGCGCCGGGACCGAGGGGCCACGACGCGCTCCGCCAGGTCGCCGGACCGCTCGGGACGCGCTGCGTGATTTCCCCTCTCCCACCCACCCCGGGCTCCCCCTTCAAGGTTCAGGTGACCCAGTGGGCAGTGAGGGGAAGCCCGCTTCTGATGCCGCTTCCCCTTTGCTGTGTCAGGCAGATGTTGTTTTCCCGTGCTCTGTAGGGCCCGGGTGACTAGAGGCTCCCGGCGGCTTTGCCGGAGCTTGCCTCCTGCTGGCCACCATGAATGCCCCTCGGCCCTGCCCACCTGCCCCCTGTTATTACCCCTCGGCCCTCCCCACCTGCCCCCTGTTATTACCCCTCGGCCCTCCCCACCTTCCCCGTCACTGTTACCCCTCAGCCCTCCCCACCTGCCCCCTGTTATTACCCCTCGGCCCTCCCCACCTGCCCCCTGTTATTACCCCTCGGCCCTCCCCACCTTCCCCTTTACTGTTACCCCTCAGCCCTCCCCACATTTCCCGATATCAATACCCCTGTGACTTCCCCATATTTTCCCTCATTACTAACCATTAGCCCCCACATTGCTGTTTTCGTCCCTCTGGCCCCCCACGCTTCCGTCACCATAGCCTCTCAGACGCTGTGACTTCCCCATCATTTTGCCCCTGAGAACTTCTCTGCCACCTGATCTCCGAGCTCACTAGAACCTCCATTGTCCTCAGCGGTGGAGGGAACAGCGAGACCCCGTTCAGTGTGTGTGATTGACGGGTCCAGCCCACCGCTCAGGACGTCCTGTCCAGGAGGCCCTGCCCGCACAAGGTGTCATGGCTTAGTGTCGCAGCCCCTGACCCAGGCCTGCCCATAGTGGTCAGACCCCCTTCCCACTGCGCCATCACAGGCTGGGCCCCGGTCCCAGACGTTACCACAGACGCCGCCAGACCTTCCACTCCGCCTGCGGTCGGGTTAGGAAGAGCTGCCGAGCCCTCAGCCCGGGTCAGTGTAGGAAGACACGACAACAGTGGCCCCGACAGCAACTTTTAAACCGCCCGGTGCCACACCAGTCAGCGACGAGCCTCTGCCAGCTGCCACCAGGGGGCTTGGCTTCCCGCACGTGGCTCCGTGCCAGTGAGGATGTCCAGCCTGCCCTGCGTGGTGCGGAGACATGTGGCCAGCAGGTGCGCCTTCTCGGCACCAAGGCAGGGCTCCAAGGAAGCTCCAGCTCGTCCCCTTTCTTTGTGCGAGTGCTCTCAATGTCACGCTGTTCTGCGAAACACACGCTGGACGTGCCTCCCCACACAAGTGAGGCGGGAGGCAGAGAAAGGGGCACTGTCAGTGGGGGTCCAGGCCCTCGTGCCCGTGCTACAGGGGCAGGCGGTGCCCAGGGCCTCTGGACCTCAGGCGGCCTCAGGGTCAAGTGACGGGGGAGGCCGTGTGGTCCAGGCCGAGGTGTGTGACCCGCTCTGCACGTGGAAGCGGGAGCACCTCGCCAGCTGCCTCCCCAGGTGCCCCGGCCGCGCACTTCCCAGGCTCTCGAGTGGGCCTCGCAAAGCAGGGAACCGCGTGCAGCCGGGGAGCCGCCCCCGGGACGCTCCAGGGACAGGCGGTGTCCTGAGAGCTGCTGTGAGCAGCTGCGCCTCATTAGCGGCTGGGAGGAGTCACTGGTCCCGGGGGAGCCACAGCCCCTCCGGTGTGTTGTGCCCGAAGGTCAGTGCCATCTTCAGAGAAGGTGTGGCTGCACGTCCGGTGGTCGTGCATCACATCCGTGTCCCCGGCAGATGTGTCCTTTGCAGGCACGCTGGCCCGGCGCCCGCTCTGGCCTGCTGTGCTCCTGGTGTTTGTGTTAAGTGACTCATCCCCCCTCCCCCGTAGGCGGTCCCCTTGCATCAGCGGGTGGGTCTGGGCGAAGTGTGGGACGCCGGCGCCCGGGGTCCAGGCCCAGGCTACACCTCTGGGAAGAGCGGGTGGCCAGGGCTTCTCAGTCAGGCGCCCGCCCGTGAAACCGGGCTTTGTTATCAGCAACCGTGACACAATTCCTGGCTCCCCAGCCCTGTTTTATTATTGTTATTCTCAACAATAGTGGGGGGTGTCAAAAGGGCATTTAGGGGAGGGGTGGGGGCGATGACAGGTGTGCCAGCTGCCGGCTGCAGGAAGCCGCCCTGGGACGCACCAGGGCCTTTGCAGAAACACGCAGAGTTTATCTGGGCGGCAGAGGGAAGCCGGGCAGTTCCGTGACGTGAGCGTGCGTTCCTCACTGCGCGGGTTCTCTTAGCAAAGTGGGCCGTGGGGACGCGTCCCCGGCCTGGGGGGCCGGTCGAGGGGTGGGGACAGGGTTGTTGTGCAGCTCGCTCACGATGGCCTTTGCCAGCTTCGCTCATTTCCTCCTCTGCTGCCAAAACCCACACGCTGATAGCGGACATGGACGAGGAAACAGAAATGAAGGAAGAGCCGCAAACAAAGGGCGGCCCGGGCCCCGCGGTTGGCCCTCCTCCCAGACGTGCTCTGTCCCCTGGTGGAGCCAGGAGAGGGGGTCCTCTGAGCGTTGACTTCGGGGGTGCCTCCTGGTGGAGACGCCAGCCACGCCCTCCTGCCACGGAGCCACCATCGCGGGCCGGTTCCAGGCTAGCGCGGGCACCCAGACCGCCGCGGCCCCTGGAGTCACGCAGCCGGGTCCTGGGCAGCGCGGCCAGCTCGGGGCACCCCGGGCCTGTGGTGGGGAGCAGGAGCAGCCTTCCTCCTGGGGGCGCCCGTACACGGGCTTCACGTGACTGGCCGAAAGCACCGCTGATGGGATTTCTTTTCTCACGGACGTTGCTGGACAGAGCGTGTTTCCCTAACCGTTTCTCCGTTGTGTTTTCTTGCAGTAAATGAGATAATCCGGAACGATCTCTCCAGCACCAACATCTGATCGTAGCTGGCAACATGGAACCCGCCCCGAAGCCGCGTGGTGTGGACTCGGCCGCTGACAGTTGAGCTCTGGCACCAGGACTTTGAGTGGACTGAGCAGCCCTGGTGCCGGCCAGACTCCGGCCTCGTGAAGATCTGCACTGTCCGCTCACGGAAGCTGCCCTTCGGCCGGGGGCGGGGGGCCCGGCCGCGCCTCATGTGTCAAGACTGAAGGGGGTGGCCTGTGAGAGCGCCCCTCACAGGGGGACTCCTGTGCTGGAAGTGCCTTATAACGCAGACCCCGGCATCGGGGCACCACGGGAGGGCGCCGAGTCTGCTGCCAGGAGGGTGTTTGTAGCAGCACAAGCTATGAAGACACTTCATCACGAGGCTTTTCTCTTGTATAAATTAGGAGAATACCGGCAGGCTAGGCCAGCATCGTGAGCAAAACCTCACACGTGCTTCCTGCCTTTTCTCAGCTTTCCTCGGGCTGCGGCGTACGATGTGTTGCCTTACTCAGTGCATTTTAGAGACGTTCTGTTTTGTCCTCGCTCTCATCCCCTCCTCCCTCCCCCGTGTTCCTGGAACCGTAGGATTGTTAATTGTAGCATGCTAAGGTTTTGTTTTTAATCTGGCTTTGGGCGTAGCGCAAGTAAGCTGATAGCACAAGGTAGGTTGCTGAACAAAAAAGAAGCCTGTCTGCCACACGCCGGATCTTGCATTTGCGTGTACGTACAGAGCTGGCACATATTTATGAACAAATAATAACGACAGAGGCAGTAACGTCCGGTCTTGCCCAGCGAGGGCTGCCGTGTAGGCAATAACCAGTATCTGTTCTGGAAGATGCATCTGAGACCGAACCTGGCTCTTCAGCCACGTGCTCTGGGCCCATCTCCCTCCGGGGCTTCGTCGTCTTGTGTGGTGCCGTCAGCCGAGCACTTGAGTCAGGAGAGGCGCGCTCCCAACACCTGTTTGCTGCCCAGCGGCACGTGGGGAAGCAGCTGTAAACCCCATGGCAGGAGGAGCGTGACGCATCTGTTCACTGCGAGGCCGTCCCTTCACAGAAGCCTCACGACTGCTTCCTCTCAGACAGGCAGCAAACACGTGTAACGTGCAGAGGCCGCAGCACGTTCTCTGGTCAGTTACTGTCACGTAGGTTAGTGTAAGCTTTACCGCTGCATTTGTACCACTAACAGCTTATTACACGTTATACTAGCAGCTCCACATAACCAAAAAGCATGGTCTAATTAAAACCTGGCTCACCTAATAACTGTGCCTTAGGAGTTCATGCCCCCTCATGGAACATGCCAGAATTGCACCCACCAGCGGAGGTCGTAAGTTATAACAGCGAAACATAAGGTGGCGGAGTAGCCCCTCCCTCAGAAACAGTGACGTTGAGACTGTTCTTCCGTGCGGTGACGTCTGATTTTTGTCTGACTCCCAGAAAGGTCGCAGCCCCGAAAGCCACGCCTGTAGCCTTCGCACGCAGCCGTCACGAGCGACGGTGTGGCCCCGCCTAGACGTGACCCTGCTTCCCGCAGGCTGCTGCCCCGCCGCAGCCCAGACCGCAGCCCGCAGGTAGCGCCCCAGGGCCCGCATGAAACACTTCTCGGTCGGCCGCGTCCGAGGAAAAGGAAACGTGTGGTGTTCGCGTCAGCGGTCTGTACTTAGGAAATAGATCCAATAAAGCAATATTTTTTTGCTGGACAATCTTAGTCTGCCGGTGATCATTACATGCGCGACGGTGCTACCTGGCTCTCGGGCCTCCCGCGGTACCTCCGTGCTCCTGTGCCGCCTGCACACGGGAGGCGGCCGCGGGGACAGGGGCTTGCGCTGGAGGCAAGCACTTCTGCTCCAGAGAGTAACCGGGCGAGGCCGCGGCCACGCACACCCTCGCGTGCAGTGTGGCTGTCGTGTGGGCAAGACAGCGCGTGGCCGCGGACCTGTCGCTCCTTCTGCTGCTTCCGTCCCGCGCCCCAGCCCCCCCCAACCCCACTACAGCCTCAGGTGGGAGACGCTGTCTAGTTGTTCATAAAACCAGCATGAGACCCGGCACTGCCCCGGCGCTTACCGTGCTGAATTGTCACAGTGCTTTGCTTTTAGGACTTTGTAAAATGCAAGATTTCCTGTATCTTTTGCTGAGATGAGGCAGAGTATTAGAGAAATTTCCATCGCTTAGCGAGCGTGGTTGGCAAGCAGCCGCCCCAGCGGGCCTACGAGGGGCGTGTGGGGACTGGGGCCCATAGGGGGCCCATCACAGGCCAGGAGCCCCAGCCCGCTGGGCGCGGAGGGGATTGGGAGTGCCAGCCACCGCCCGGAGAGCAGACTCACGGGGCCCCAGAGCCGGGCTTGCCTCCCTGAAGAATGTCCTGGACGCTATTCATTTCAAAGCAAGTTTTTATAAACCTGTCACTGCCCCCTTCCCAACCATAAGATTTTTTTTAAACAATATTTTTTTTAACTTTTTAAAATTTTTTATTTATTTCTGAGAGAGATAGAGATAGCATGAGCAGGGGAGGGTCAGAGACAGAGGGAGACACAGAATCCAAAACAGGCTCCGGGCTCTGAGCTGTCAGCACAGAGCCCAACGTGGGGCTCGAACCCATGAACCGTGAGATCATGACCTGAGCCGAAGTCAGACGCTTAACCGACTAAGCCACCCAGGCGCCCCCCAGCCATAGGATTTTATATTCCAGACACAAAAATACAAATCCAGGAAATAACAGACGGTTTGTGCCAAAAAGGTGGTGTTTCTGTGAACACCCGTTGACTTAGTTTTGTCTCTTTTCGGTCGATTTTGTGCAGTGAGGGGAGCGTGCCGCGGGCGTGCCTCTCGCAGGGCGCTGATGTGTTTTGCCCTCACGCCCCACGCCGGCCGGGCCCCTGGAGCATGGGGGCCGTATGCCTGCCAGCCGCTCCCCTCTCACGGCGACCGGGCTCGTGTGGCATGTACCCCAGAACCGTCCGCCGTGGAGCAAAGCGGGGGCAGCCGCGCCCGGGCCGGGGTGGCAGGCTTCCCTTTGTGGCCGGTCCCAGCCCTTCCCACGTTTGAGAGCGTGTGGTGAACACCCAGTCTCTCCCTGTAACCAAGCACGACCTGAGCGAGACTCCGAGCACTTTAGCGCCTCAGTTTCCAGGGTGTCCTCTGACCACCCCCACCCCCCTGTGCGGGGTCCCAACAGCGTCGCCAGAAGGGTGTCTGTGCGCAACCGTCATTACACATGTGCTGAGAAACGTGTGCCACGTTGGGGCACAGGCTGAGTGGAAGCAGCTGCGTCTGGAAAGGAGGTGCAGAGCCCGAGATGAAGGGCCTGTGTGAGAGCAGTGTTTACAGAACTAAAGTCACACACGATGAACGGGCGGTGATGAAGGGGACGGTTCAGTAGCACGGAGCACATTCACGGTGCTGCATAACTGCCACCTCTGTCTGTTCCCAGTGCCTCGTCACCCCGCAGGGAGCCCTGGAGCCCGCCCCCGGCCCCCGGTAACCTCTGTGAACTCTGTCCCCGTGGGCTGTGCTTTCTGGGTACTTGGAATCCGTGCACCGGTAGGCAAGTGGCCTTGCGTGGAAGAACTCAGCAGAATGGTTTCCTGGTTCGTCACATCAGCATTTATTAGCCTTCGCTCCTTCACTCCTTCTTGTGGCCAAAACCCGCCCTGGTGTGTGGATAGGGCAGGTTGTGAGCGCGTGTGGCTGGGTGGACGCCTGGGCCACCTCCACGTGTGGCCGCCAGGAACGCTGGCGGCCCAGGTCCTGTGTGAGCCCCGGCCTGCAGGCTGGGGCCCGTCCCTCGGAGTGCGTTTCGTGGGTACTTAGGTAATTGTATGTCTCACTCTTTTCTTTAAGTATGTTTACTTATTTTGAGAGCAGGGAGGGAGAGAGAGAGAACCCCAAGCAGGTATAAGCTGTCAGTGCAGAGCCCCACGCAGGGCTCCATCTCACCAACCCTGAGATCGTGACCTGAGCGGAAATCCAGAGTCAGACGCTCAACCAGCTGGGCCCCCAGGCGCCCCTGGGTGTCTCACTTTTTGAAGAGCGATTTTCCCTTGCTCAGTTTGAAAGGTATGAGGCCCGAGACCAGCGCTGGATTGCTGGCGTACCCTGCAGTCATGCGTGTGAAGCACGTCATCATTCTTTCTGCCAAAAGCCATTGCGTTAAGTAGGAGGTGACTAAATGCTCATCTGTGTCCAAGCAGAAAGCGGGCCTTGGTTTGCGCCGCCTCCGCCTCTGGGTCGCCAGCTCGAGCCGTTCACGAGGTGCCGTCGGAGCCCCAGTGGCTGTTTTACTGCCCACACAGCACAGAGAAGCCACGGCGCCGATGACCAGGGTCGCGGGAAATGCGCGTCTGCGCGGGGCTCCCGCGAGCTCCCTGCGAGCCCACTCTCAGTGTCCTGACCTTTCCACTGCCGCTGTCTGCACTGCGTGACCTTCTAACAGTCACGTTTCTCCCTGGACCCTTGTGACTGTGACCAGAGCGTCACAGCTGAGCGGCTCCTTCCACAAGGTGCCAGGCACGGCATGGGAATTACTTTCAGTAGTGAGTGTAATTATCAGGGCCTTTTGTATCATCATTTTCCATTCCTCGTCCTCCCCAGGGTGGGGAGGGGGTGGAGGACTGAGCTGCAGGAAGCCACAGTGCCATCGGGAAGCAGGGAGCGGTGACCCGAGCCCTCCCTCCTCGGTTCCCCTTCCGGGGCCCTGCCTGGGCTGCACAGACCGTCCCTGCTGCGCGTAGCCCACCCGCCAGGGGCACCCGGTCCACACAGGCATCTCTGGAAGAGGTGCATTTTCCACACCATCTGTGGTTTGTCCCTGAAGGGCCCGAGCTGTGAATGTTGTCACCGGGGCTCCAGGAAGCCTGCTCACCGCACCCACTCCCTCTGCGTGGCCCTGGGGTCCCGTCTCCACAGCACCAGGAGGGCCCGGATTCCACCATTAGAGAGTCACTCCTGTGGTGTGAAGCCATGTCCACCATTTAAAAGTGACGCCGTGTGGCCGGCGGGTGCCTGCTGCCCAGGGTGAGGGTCTCCACGCTTGCCTGGGAGTGGCATCCGTGAGAAGCAGCCCTGAATCCTGAAGGAGGAAGAGCACTGGCACCACCTAGAAGCATCAGCTGAGACCAGCAAAGCCACTGCCCCCGCCCTCCCCCTAAATTGGTGTCACCTCCATGTGTGGCTGGCGGTGGCCGATGCCCAGGCTGCACCAGCAAAGCCACGGGGCATGGGGTTTCCTTGTGATTTCGGGGCTCCTCCTTTGTCCTCCACCAGAGAAATGATTCCCTTGTGAGGTGCAGTCAGCAGTGGGCGCGAACACGGACCAAGTGCCACTTGTGTGCGGGGCATGTTCTAGAAGCTTGGTGTACCAGCGGACAAGACTTCCTCCAGAGGGAAAAAGCCCTTAACCTCCAGACCCCACGGAGGGGCCGTGCGCATCTGGCAGGTGGGGTGGCCGCGCAGAAGAGAAGGGCTAGCGGCGGCCGAGTGGGCCCTGGGGAGGTGACAAGGGTGCCCCATGGGGGTGACCGCCCGCGCAGAGATCCTAGGCTGGCACCTCTGGCGCTCAAGAGGCCGGGAGGGATGAGGGCAGATGGGGGTCAGAGTTCCTTTCCCATGAGGAAATAAGCCAGTACTTCTGAACCTCGTGTGGCCACGCCCTGGGCCACGGCCACTCACCAGAGCCGTGGACGTGGCTCTCCTTGGCTTCCAGGCCCCCCAGCCTCTCAGACGCTCCTCTTGACACCCGGCTGCCAGGACGTAAGGAGCGTGTCGTGGGGAGGCTGCATGCGGAGGCCCCAGCAGATCACCAGGCATGCGAGAGGGAGAGGACGGACGGACGGACAGCTGGAGAGCCGCAGAGAGTCGCCCCCCTCAGGGCAGCAGGGACCGGGTGTCCCTGGCGTTGTGAGCCTGGTCGTCAGGGAGCTCTGTTAGGAAACTACTAATAATTAATCCACAGAATAAGTAGTTACAGTGAAACCAGAAGGATCCGGGTCATACTAACCAGGCTGGTTCTGGTGAGGAAAGGGTCGGACTCGGGGCCCCGGCAGGTGCGGCCGGGAGAGGACACGGCTGGGGGACACGAAGAACCTGGCCACTCGCTCGGCTGTGCCTGCTTCCACCAATCGCCGTCCGGGCGCCCGGCCAGACCTGTGCCCTGATGGAGGCTTTTCCCGCCCCTCCTGCCGCCCCTCTGCTCTGTTGGGGTGAATCTCTTGCACGTCTGAATCTCTCTGGCTGGCACTGTCCCCCTGAGGACTCTCCTGACGGCACACTCATGTCCCCGTCCATAAATTAGACATTAATTCCATCCCCGAGCTAACGTTCTCTCAGCATCTGTGATGGACCTTATGTGTGTGTGTGTGTGTGTGTGTGTGTGTGTGTGTGTGTGTGTGTGTGTCCCAGAATCCCTGCCCTGAAACCCCAGCCCCCGGAGAGCCGATGCTGGGCAGCAGGCCTTCAGGAGGTGAGTAGGGAGCCTGCTGGTGAGGGGGCCTTTCTCCCGCTCGGCAGCCGCTGCGTGAGGAGGAGACGGGGGGGTCTGTAAGCCAGGGGGCCGTGCCCGGAGGCCGCCACGTGGGACCTCCCGCTCCAGCTCTGAGAAGTGGGTGCGCGTCGGCTGAGACCTGGCCAGAGGCCCCTCGTCCCCCCGACAGAGCTAAGGCAGCGTCTCTGAGGGTCTCCGGCACCACACGCACAAGTAAATTTGCTA